AGTGCGCATGCGCACTGGAGCTGACAGGGCAACGCCTCGCATGCCCCAATAAATGGCTCCACGTTCCACCTGTGGCACGCATGCCATAGGTTCGCCATCACGGAACTAGATGGTTTTAAATTATTTAAAAGAAACAGATCAAATAAAAGAGGAGGTGGAGTTGCACTATATATAAGAAATAACTACATCTCTACAGAAATAGAGCACAACAATGATGACAACTGTTTTGAATGCATCTGGGTCAATATTAAAGGGGGGAAATGTCATAGGTCTTTACTATAGGCCACCAAACCAAATAGAGGAAGTAGATGAACTTTTTGCTAGTCAGCTAACTAAGGTTTTTGGGAAGCACATCACAATAGTAATGGGGGATTTTAAGTACCCTGACATCACCTAAGAGACAAACTGCACCAAGAGGAAGATCTAACAGTTTCCTAACAAACCTAGCAGACAACTTTGTCTCCCAAAAAGTAGAGAAGAGAACTAGGGGATCAGCCATATTGGACTTAATTCTTCCTAACAGAGATGAAATGATAGAAGGTGTTGAAACTACAGGAACCTTGGGGGCAAGTGATCATGCAATATTGGAATTCAACATTATGCAAGCACACGCAATAGAACAAAGTCAAACTAGAGTCTTTGACTTATTTTCAAGTTTTTTTTTATTTTTTGGTTACACATACATATTTATGAACAAAGTGTTGTTTGTTTGTTTTCTTTTTACATCTTCCCATGTACATAATCCATTTTACATCATAATTCTGTTCCAATTTCCGCTCTCTTGTTCTCTTTCCATATTTTCAATTTTACCCTTATTTCCTTTTTAATACATCTACAATATCCTTAAGTGCCCCTTCAAAGTTAATCCAAGTTATCATTCCCTGTTTCATCTATTAGTCTATTTTACTCCAATGAAAACCTCTAGCTGTTTTCCATTTTCCGTTCCATTTTCCTCCATATTCTTGTTCTTCAATTAAACCCTCTATTACTCTCTTCTCTCCTATTCCCTGGTCTGAGTTATCAATCTATTTTTCTTATTTTTTTTCTTGCCATTTAAGGTTTCACACACATTTTTAGTGTAATTCATTGTACATCCATGATCTCAATTTAACTAATTTAACATTTTTAAAGGATTTTTACATTATATCACAATCCTCTCATATGCATAATACCTTTTACATCATAGTTTTGTTTTCACTTTCCGCCCTATTGTACAATAAGTTAAGTTAGTTATCTATAATTGATAATGTTACAATGCTCTTATATCTTAATTCTCTATATATCATTAACTGCTTTAATACCATTCCCTTTTCCCAATTAACTAATTTAAAATTTTCAAGTAGTTTCACATTTAATTCTCTACTATGCATAGTCCCTTTTACATCATGATTCTGTTTCCGCTTTCAACTCTATTATTCTCTTTCAATATTTTCCATCGTAAAACTTATTTTCTTCTTATAACATAAACCATATTACCAATTAGCCCTTCAAAATTAAACCAAATTATCCTTTTCTCTAAACTACATACATCTACTAATTCAATTTTTTCATAAAAAAACAGCTTAATTAATTATCCACAATTAATAATGTTATAATTCCCTTATATCTTAATCAACTACACATCATTAACAGTATAAATGCAATTCCCTTTAATCTACTAATATATCCTTCTTTCCTTCCCTTTTCCTCTACCCATTTTCTCTAAATCTCTCAAAGCTTCTACTTCTTTTTTGTTTTCTTCTTTCCTCCCATTCTCCTATCTTCTTCTTTTTCTTCTTTTTACAATTCTTATCTCCTTTCTTCCAAGTCTTTTCTCTCACTTGTGGATTTACTATTCTAATAATTTTCCCTGGGGTTTTCCCTCACCTTTTCCCACTTTTCCCTTCTTTGCTATTTTTCTTTTTTTGGGGGTATTCCCTCTTCTTTGTTTTTTGTTTTTTTGTGCCACTATAAATCCCACTGAAATCATCTAGCTCTTTTTCATTTTGAATTTCTTTGCTCTTTAACTGTTTATTTTTTGGAGGATATTCTCTCTTATTTGTTTCTTTTATGCCACTGTAAATTCCAGTGAATCATCTAGCTGTTTTTTCCTGCTCCGTCCAGGCGAGGCCTGGCGGCCACTGCGCCCAAGCACCGGTCAAGAACATAGGAGGCCGCGGCGGTGGTGGAGGGCCTGCTGCGGGGTTCCGGGGCCAGCCTGCCTTCCCTGCGGCAGAGAGCGAGCAGCGAGCGAGTGGGAGAGAGCGAGCGAGCGAGCCCTTCACCAGAGGCCTCCGACGTGCCCTTCCTGCTCCATCCAGGCGAAGCCCAGTGCGGGCGCAGAAGGCCGGGTGGAGCATGAGGCTGGGGCGCGGGGCAGCAGCGGCGGTGGAGGAGGAGGCGGCGTCCCCCTGAGCGGCTGGTGTTATACAAGCAGCTGCCCGAGAAGGTGTTATACAAGCAGCTGCCCGAGTCGACAGCAAAACTCGTGAACCTTCAGCCACAAGGATCCAACAAGGCGGAGGTCTTTGTAAACGCCTTTCTGAAACGCAGCATGCCTGGGAAGAGCAAGGAGGACATCGAGAAACACTTCGACCGGAAAGCGGTGGTCCTTGAGCATCCCCAACCGAGGAGTAACAGGCAGCGGAGCAAACGGAGGAAAGGATTGTCAGCCAAACAGAGGCGAGAANGATTTTGCACCATCCTTCCCCTGGAGTCAGGAAGTAATGGGCATTTTGCACCATCCTTCCCCTGGAGTGTGGAGGGAATGGAGATTTTATAGTATCTTTCCCCTGGAGTGGGGATGGAATGGGGATTTCGCAGTATCCTTCCCCTGCCACACCCAGCAAGCCACGCCTGCAAAACCGGTAGTAACAAAATATATGAATTTCTTCCCTGCTCCAAAGCCTGTATGAAAATATCGGGGAAATACAGATAGTCCTCAAGTTACAACCACAATTTAGGCCAAAATGTCTACTGCTAAGTGACACATTTGTTCAGTGACTTTTGCCCCCATTTTACGACCTTTCTTGTCACTGTTGTTATGGGAATCACTGCAGTTTGTTAAGTTAGCACTAGGGTTGTTGAGTGAATATGGCTTCCCTATTGAATTGGCTTGTCAGATGGTCCTGAAACAGTGTTTCTCAACCTTGGCGACTTGAAGTCCTGTGGATTTCAACTCCAGAAGCTGCGCTGGCTGGGGGATTCTGGGAGTTGAAGTCCACAGGACTTCAAGTCGCCAAGGTTGAGAAACACTGTCCTAAAATGTGATTGCGTGACTCCGGGACACTGCTACAGTCACAAAGAGGGATCAGTTGCCAACTGTCCGAATTTTGACCATGGGGATGCTCCAATGGTCAGTTGTGTGAAAAACGGTCATCAGTCACTTTTTCCAGTGCCGCTCTAGCTTCGAATGGCCACTAAATGAACTGTTGTAAGTCGAGGACAACCTTACAGATAAACAGAGTTGGAAGGGACCTTGGAGGTAATCTAGTCCAACCCCCCCCCCATCCAAGCAGGAGACCCTACACCATTTCTGACTGATGGGTTCCCATTTAATTATGCAGCATTTATGGGCATTATTTCATTATGGTTTTTCAGCTTTCCTTTCTTAAAAAAAAATATTTATTTTGTCTTTACCTCTTTTAATCCATTCCAAGAATCCACCATGTGAGTTTTGTTAATATCATCCATGCCTGTGAACACCGTGAAGAGACCAGAGTTTGAATTGTTTAACTGCAATGGAAAAGAAGAACCAGTTAGGTGATTTACACACTTTTAACAGTAAACTGGCAGTTGGGTGTTTCGAATCCCTAGTGCCGCGTAATAGAGTGAGCTCCCGGTACTTTCCCCAGCTTCTGCCAACCTAGCAGTTCGAAAGCATGTAAAAAATGCAAGTAGAAAAATAGGAACCACCTTTGGTG